TGCAGTTGTTGTTATTGTTAGTAGATAGTTGCTCTTTAAATTTAGTTCTAATAATAACAACAACAACGACAATTTCTATTACCTTTTGTTGCTTTAGTTATTTGTCTTCTTCTTTAGTAGCGAAAAATTTCTAAAGTGTTCGGTTGTTTTGTGTTAGGAGTCCTGTTTAAATTAATTTAAAGTGTTAATTAATTGTTAATATTTAAATATTTTTGTTTGAAAATTGTTTATAAATACCGTTATGAAGAAATGTTTATAAAAAAGTGTTAAATTATTGGTTTAAAAAGTGTTTTAAAAATTTGCCTAAAATTCATTGCAATTTTGTTAGGCCGAGCGCGTCGATCGGTGGTTTTTCTTTTGTCGGGCCATTCGTTTTGTTAAGTGATGAGAAAGAAGCATTAATTAAAAGGGGTAGTGGGAAAGTTTGGAAAAAAAAGTCTGAGGGGAAAAGTTGTGACAAATAAAGGAAAAAGGTTAACGAAAAGAGTTGGTGGGTATGCATATATGTAAATATGTATGTATGTGTTTCAAAGTGGAAATATTGTTTTTGGTTGTATGCAAGGAAATGCAAACGGGAGAATATCGTTATTTGAACAGCAAAAGAAAAAGGTGAGTGATTTGAAATAACTAATACAATTTGTTTTTATTTCCTTATTAAAATTATTTTTCTGTTATAATAAATTTGACTATGGTCTTCGCTAAAGTACAATCCATAACCTAGACTGTTCTATAGTCTAGATTTCTTCTAATGAAACGAAGATTTACAACTTAAGGAGTAGATTTGGAAAAAAACGATTGCATACATTAAGGATGATGTAGTAAACTTAAATTGGGATGAAAAATACAAGAAAATAGTAATCAAAATAACAGCATACCTTTAGGATGAACAAATTCAATAACCTTTCTGAAGAAATAAATTACATGATGGAATTTGTGTTGAATTTTATATTCAATTCACCAGATCTTTCATTCAACGCGTAATATTTTAAACCGCTATTGTCCCAATTCACCAGATTTTGCATTCAACAGGATTTTGAAAAGTTAGTTAGGAGTTAGTTAGTTGGTTTGTTAGTTATTAGTTAGTTAGTTAGTTAGTTAGTAGTTAGTTAGTTAGAGTAGTTTGTTAGTTGTTAGTTAGTTAGTAGTTAGTTAGTTAGTGTAGTTAGTAGTTAGTAGTTAGTTAGTTAGTTAGTTAGTTAGTTAGTAGTAGTTAGTTAGTTAGTTAGTTAGTAGTTAGTAGTTAGTTAGTTAGTTAGTTAGTTAGTAGTAGGTAGTTAGTTAGTTAGTTAGTAGTTAGTTAGTTAGTTAGTTAGTTAGTTAGTTAGTTAGTTAGTTAGTAAGTTAGTTAGTTAGTTGTGTTAGTTAGTTAGTTAGTTAGTTGTTAGTTAGTTAGTTAGTTAGTTAGTCAGTTAGTTAGTTAGTTAGTTAGTTAGTTTGTTAGTTAGTTAGTAGTTAGTTAGTTAGTTAGTAGTTAGTAGTAGTTAGTAGTAGTAGTTAGTTAGTTAGTTAGTAGTTAGTTAGTTAGTAGTTAGTTAGTTAGTTAGTTAGTTAGTTAGTTAGTTAGTTAGTAGTTAGTTAGTTAGTTAGTTAGTTAGTTAGTTAGTTAGTAGTTAGTTAGTTAGTTAGTTAGTTAGTTAGTTAGTTAGTAGTTAGTTTAGTTAGTTAGTTAGTTAGTTAGTTAGTTAGTTTAGTTAGTTAGTAGTTAGTTAGTAGTTAGTTAGTTAGTTAGTTAGTTCGTTAGTTAGTTAGTTAGTTAGTTAGTTAGTTAGTAAGTTAGTTAGTTAGTTAGTTAGTTAGTTAGTTAGTTAGTTAGTTAGTTAGTTAGTTAGTTAGTTAGTTAGTTAGTTAGTTAGTTAGTTAGTAGTTAGTTAGGTTAGTTAGTTAGTTAGTTAGTTAGTTAGTTCGTTAGTTAGTTAGTAGTTAGTTAGTTAGTTAGTTAGTTAGTTAGTTAGTTAGTTAGTTAGTTAGTTAGTTAGTAGTTAGTTAGTTAGTTAGTAGTTAGTTAGTTAGTTAGTTAGTTAGTTAGTTAGTAGTTAGTTAGTTAGTTAGTTAGTTAGTTAGTTAGTTAGTTAGTTAGTTAGTTAGTTAGTTAGTAGTTAGTTAGTTAGTTAGTTAGTTAGTTAGTTAGTTAGTATTAGTTAGTTAGTTAGGTTAGTTAGTTAGTTAGTTAGTTAGTTAGTTAGTTAGTTAGTTAGTTAGTTAGTTAGTTAGTTAGTTAGTTAGTAGTTAGTTAGTTAGTTAGTTAGTTAGTTAGTTAGTTAGTTAGTTAGTTAGTTAGTTAGTTAGTTAGTTAGTTAGTTAGTTAGTTAGTAGTTAGTTAGTTAGTTAGTTAGTTAGTTAGTTAGTTAGTAGTTAGTTAGTTAGTTAGTAGTTAGTTAGTAGTTAGTTAGTTAGTTAGTTAGTTAGTTAGTTAGTAGTTAGTTAGTTAGTTAGTTAGTTAGTTAGTTAGTTAGTTAGTTAGTTAGTTAGTTAGTTAGTTAGTTAGTTAGTTAGTTAGTTAGTTAGTTAGTTAGTTAGTTAGTTAGTTAGTTAGTTAGTTAGTTAGTTAGTTAGTTAGTTAGTAGTTAGTTAGTTAGTTAGTTAGTTAGTTAGTTAGTTAGTTAGTTAGTTAGTTAGTTAGTTAGTTAGTTAGTTAGTAGTTAGTTAGTTAGTTAGTTAGTTAGTTAGTTAGTTAGTTAGTAGTTAGTTAGTTAGTTAGTTAGTTAGTTAGTTAGTTAGTTAGTTAGTTAGTTAGTTAGTTAGTAGTTAGTAGTTAGTTAGTTAGTTAGTTAGTTAGTTAGTTAGTTAGTTAGTTAGTTAGTTAGTTAGTTAGTTAGTTAGTAGTTAGTTAGTTAGTTAGTTAGTTAGTTAGTTAGTAGTTAGTTAGTTAGTTAGTAGTTAGTTAGTTAGTTAGTTAGTAGTTAGTTAGTAGTTAGTTAGTTAGTAGTTAGTAGTTAGTTAGTTAGTTAGTTAGTAGTAGTTAGTTAGTTAGTTAGTTAGTTAGTTAGTTAGTAGTTAGTTAGTTAGTTAGTTAGTTAGTTAGTTAGTTAGTAGTTAGTTAGTTAGTTAGTTAGTAGTTAGTTAGTTAGTTAGTTAGTTAGTTAGTTAGTAGTTAGTTAGTTAGTTAGTTAGTTAGTTAGTTAGTTAGTTAGTTAGTTAGTTAGTTAGTTAGTTAGTTAGTTAGTTAGTTAGTTAGTTAGTAGTTAGTTAGTTAGTTAGTTAGTTAGTAGTTAGTTAGTTAGTTAGTTAGTAGTTAGTTAGTTAGTTAGTTAGTTAGTTAGTTAGTTAGTTAGTTAGTTAGTAGTTAGTTAGTAGTTAGTTAGTTAGTTAGTTAGTTAGTTAGTTAGTTAGTAGTTAGTTAGTTAGTAGTTAGTTAGTTAGTTAGTTAGTTAGTAGTTAGTTAGTTAGTTAGTTAGTTAGTTAGTTAGTTAGTTAGTTAGTTAGTTAGTTAGTTAGGTTAGTTAGTTAGTTAGTTAGTTAGTTAGTAGTTAGTTAGTTAGTTAGTTAGTTAGTTAGTAGTTAGTTAGTTAGTTAGTTAGTTAGTAGTTAGTTAGTTAGTTAGTTAGTTAGTTAGTTAGTTAGTTAGTTAGTTAGTTAGTTAGTTAGTTAGTTAGTTAGTTAGTTAGTTAGTTAGTTAGTTAGTTAGTTAGTTAGTTAGTTAGTTAGTTAGTTAGTCGTTAGTTAGTTAGTTAGTTAGTTAGTTAGTTAGTTAGTTAGTTAGTTAGTTAGTAGTTAGTAGTAGTTAGTTAGTTAGTTAGTTAGTTAGTTAGTTAGTTAGTTAGTTAGTTAGTTAGTTAGTTAGTTAGTTAGTTAGTTAGTAGTTAGTTAGTTAGTTAGTTAGTTAGTTAGTTAGTTAGTTAGTTAGTTAGTTAGTTAGTTAGTTAGTTAGTTAGTTAGTTAGTTAGTTAGTTAGTTAGTTAGTTAGTTAGTTAGTTAGTTAGTTAGTTAGTTAGTTAGTTAGTTAGTTAGTTAGTAGTTAGTTAGTTAGTTAGTTAGTTAGTTAGTAGTTAGTTAGTTAGTTAGTTAGTTAGTAGTTAGTTAGTTAGTTAGTTAGTTAGTTAGTTAGTTAGTTAGTTAGTTAGTTAGTAGTTAGTTAGTTAGTAGTTAGTTAGTTAGTTAGTTAGTTAGTTAGTAGTAGTTAGTTAGTTAGTTAGTTAGTTAGTAGTTAGTTAGTTAGTTAGTTAGTTAGTTAGTTAGTAGTTAGTTAGTTAGTTAGTTAGTAGTTAGTTAGTTAGTTAGTTAGTTAGTTAGTTAGTTAGTTAGTTAGTAGTTAGTTAGTTAGTTAGTAGTTAGTTAGTTAGTTAGTTAGTTAGTTAGTTAGTTAGTTAGTTAGTTAGTTAGTTAGTTAGTTAGTTAGTTAGTTAGTAGTAGTTAGTTAGTTAGTTAGTTAGTTAGTTAGTTAGTTAGTTAGTTAGTTAGTTAGTTAGTTAGTTAGTTAGTTAGTTAGTTAGTTAGTTAGTTAGTTAGTTAGTTAGTTAGTTAGTTAGTTAGTAGTTAGTTAGTTAGTTAGTTAGGTAGTTAGTTAGGTAGTAGTTAGTTAGTTAGTTCGTAGTTAGTTAGTTAGTAGTTAGTTAGTTAGTTAGTTAGTTAGTTAGTTAGTTAGTTAGTTAGTTAGTTAGTTAGTTAGTTAGTAGTTAGTAGTTAGTAGTTAGTTAGTTAGTTAGTTAGTTAGTAGTTAGTTAGTTAGTTAGTTAGTTAGTTAGTTAGTTAGTTAGTTACGCGAGACAGAGTGAAACAACTGACCTTGCTTCTCCAATTACTTCTTAAATTCAAATTTAACGGTTTTTTCTTACCAACATTTTTCACTTTTTAACATTTTTCTAGAGTTACCTGTTTATTTTTAAACCTGTTAACAAATATCAACAAGTGACTGGCTAAACACAACCGTGTGTTTTGTTTTCTATCACTGCACTTTCATGCTCACTTGACGTTATTACACTCAGAGAGGGCCAAGTGAGTATCAGTCACTGTTATTATTATTTTTGAGCCACATTTACCACAAACAATTGTTAGACTTTTTAGTTAATAAACGACTTTCGACACGTGCGGTTCATGTGAAGACGGAAAACGGTGACATTTTTGTTTAACAAAAATTGTCTGTTAAAAATAAAAAAACAGTTAAAAACAAACAATAAAACTAGTTACAACAAAAAGAGAGTGAATTTAGTGAAGCAATAGAAACAAAAAAAAAAAAAACTAACACGACATTTACAAAAATAAAAAAACAACGGTTTTTTACATAGAAAAACTAAAAAACAGAATAAAAGTGAGGAGTGACTACTACATACTTATAAAGTTTTTCTATTTACCACAATTTTTTTATAAAATCAACAATTAATTCATTATCATGAAATTTTCTATGGGAATGTAATCCTACCCCCAACTTGGTAGAGTTGTATTCAGATTGCAGTAAGTGAGAAGAGTTTATAAGTGATTTACTACAAACGTTTGTTTGTGTTTTTGTATTTAATGTTGCAATGTAGCTGCATAATAATAATAATAATAATAATAAAAAAATCATAAATAAAACAACAATACAAAAATATACATACATTGTTACAAAGTGGTACCTACTAATAATAATTATTTATTTATTTAGTTTTTACATATTTTTGTTTATTTCATCTTCTTGTACACACCATTATTCTATTTACCGGAAGGTGGTACATAGTAGTTAGTGTTTGTTATTGTTGTTGTGTTACAAAAATATTGAGTACAGACAATAATAACAACAAACAACAAGAACAATAGTTATTATAATAATCATCAACATCATTTGTTTACCTTTTTTTTGATTTTGTTCTTTCTCATCTGTGTGCAGAGTGGGCGAAGTGTAATAGAAAAAACAACTACAAAACAGTATAATTATAAAGCAATAAAATCAAAACAAAACCAAAATTATATATTCACAGTGTTGTTATTACACAAAGTAGTTATTTTGCATAAAAATTTCTAAAAAGAAGAAAAAATAACTTCTTTTTAATGAAAAAAAGTTCATAATATAGAGTGTTGTTTACAAAAAAAGTGAAATTATTGAATTTGAATAAATTTTTTGGATTACTTTTTACATAATTTCGAATTGTGGGTATGTAATAAAATTTAAGTTATTTTGAACGTGGTAGTGTCTGTCAATTGATTTAGTATTCGATTTGTGGCTCTGAATGTTAAACTTTCTGTATGATAAAAATATGTATACCTAATGGAAACTATAGCATTTGTGTTTTAAATTAGAAAATCCCAACAGTTGTGAAATTTGCCAATAAAATATTATCTCACTCTATGGCGGTTTAAAAGTTTTTGATTTGCAAATATAAAACTGATGATACCTATAGGGTTGTTCAAAGCAGAATTGCACAGGCCAACAAAATTTGTAGAAAGTTGAAACTTAGAGACAAAAGGGGACTGAGCAGCTCTGAATAAGTTTGTTAATGTTTTCCAGATATCGTGTCACAAAGATCGATTGTTTTAGCGCGATGACATCTTAATTTATAAAATTTGTTATGTCGTCGGAAAGTCTAATCTGTGGACTTTTAAATAGACCTTTCACCTCTGTTATATCTTTTTTCTATTTCGAGATCCCTTAATCAAAAGTTAAAAACAACTATAAATTTCAATGCCTTAATGGGATGGAAAAATGTTGAGGCTAGATTCGGATTCAGTGCAGCTCAGGTATATTTTGGTCCCAGTTTTTACAAAACATAAAGTAGAAAGAAGGATAGGGCTTAAATGAGCATATATTGTTGTATTTTTAATTGTAATCGGCATACCATTTCGAGTCAGAACATGTATTTTAAACTTATTCTTAGTTGTCAAAATGACGCCAACTGTCTGAAACTCTCCTTCATAACTATTCAAAAAGAACTTTTTTGAAAAAAAGTAATAATGAAATTTAATTTATTTCTAATAGCTACAATGTAAAATATTTAACTTTTTATTGTTCCCACACTCAAAACTGAAATTCTTATTAATAAACAAAAACAGACTATAATTAATGACCCGTGTTTATACCTGACAGAAATACCTAACTTTCAGCGTTTTAACAAAATAGCTATTAACAATATTATTCAAAAAAATAATTATTTATTTAGTTAAGTAACAAACATTTTAATTATTTAAATATGTGTAAGATTTAAAAGAAGACAATAAAATTGTTTAAACAACCCACTACAGAATTTGTATTATAATTTTGATATGAATCTCTTTCAATATATTAGTAATTTTGCAATAAAGAAAAACATATTACCGCATATCAGATCGAAAGAGCTTTCGTATCGCAAGAAAATTTCGATATTGAAATTAAAAGAAAATGATCTATACTTCTTCTACCAAATCCAATCATAATCTCCCAGCTTCGAAATGAAAATTCACATGGTTTTAGGTAATTTTTTTCATACAAAAATGCTTCAAATCAACTTTTTAATATTTATTGATTTGTTTGAGTTTTATAATTAAGAACCCGGAACTTGTTTCTTATTCTTAAAATTTATAAAGATGAGTTTTATTTTTAAGCCAAAGAAATCAATAATAATTATTAAGGAAATAAAATCAAAATGATATAAAACAAGTAAAGAAAACTATACTCGACTTTGACGAATGTTATATACCCTTTACCATAGTGATTAATTTTATAAAATTTAAATTTCAATACAAAAAACAACAACAATTTACTCCAAACGAAACAAATAACAAAATACTCAAAGCAATAAAGCCAACACACATCCAAACATACGTTTTTTCCAATAAGCCAGGTTGTTGTTGCTTTTTTGTCAAAACATGCAAAAATTGTCGTTTTTTTCTTCTTTGATTTGCAGTCAAACGAACAGACTGACGGACATGACTTAATCGACTCCGCTATGTTATAAGTATCCAGAATATATGTACTTTATAGGGTAGGAAAATTCTATAGTAAAAATTACAAACAGAATGACAAACTTATATATACCCTTCTCACTAAGGTGTAGGGTATAAATATAGAGAAATTAAGAAATAAAGAAATAATAATGATGTTAAACATTACTATTCAGATAATTCATATTTTTGATTAATTTGTTTGAACAAATTTAAGAAAATAAAAATAAATTACTTTTTTTTACTTTATTTTTTGCGCAGTAATAGCAAAAAAATTGTTTACTTTTCCGTATATACCCTACAGATTATAGTTAAGGATTTAATGGTTTTAAAGATTAGTTGGTAACGTAAATTTATACAAAAATATTGTAATTTTTTGATTTTAAGAAAAAGTATACAATTTGTAGATCTTTAAAATTACGATTAAACAACACCGTTATAATTTTGTTAATTATCCAAAGGGTTTAAAATTTTACAAAATGGCATTAGATTATCTCTAAACATTCCATATTTAATCAGCAATATAGACATAAAACTATTATACAAAATAACAAAACTAATGGTCAGCAACAAGTTGCTAGCAACATTCTAAAATACATTGAATTCCGCAAGTTCTAAATGTAAACTTTTTAAATGTTGTAATTTAAAATTAGCAACAAGTTGCTAGCAACATTTCGGCACAGAGAACTTGTATGTTAAACCGAAAATTATAGAATTAAAACAAAACTAATGGTCGGAACATGTTGCTAGTAACACTTGGAAAACTTTTTAATTCCACAAGTTATAAGAAGATCTTCTAAATGTTCTGAATTAGAGGAGAATAAAAAAGCATTAATTTAATTTAGATAGATAGATAGATAGATAGATAGATAGATAGATAGATAGATAGATAGATAGATAGATAGATAGATAGATAGATAGATAGATAGATAGATAGATAGATAGATAGATAGATAGATAGATAGATAGATAGATAGATAGATAGATAGATAGATAGATAGATAGATATATAGATAGTTAGTAAGTAAGTTAGTTAGTTAGTTAGTTAGTTAGTTAGTTAGTTAGTTAGTTAGTTAGTTAGTTAGTTAGTTAGTTAGTTAGTTAGTTAGTTAGTTAGTTAGTTAGTTACAGTAGTTTTCCGATTTAACGAACCCATATGTTGTCAGGCCTGTTCGTAAAATTGAAAAGTTCGTTATATGCAGTACTAACTAAAACGTGGGTTTTTGGTAGGAAAATAATTAAAAATAGGTACATAAAATATTTTTTAAATGTATTTTATAAAAATTAATTCTTTTTTTTTTTTTAAATAGCACAAAACACAAAATTCCTAATCTTATATACCGACCTTCAAACCATATTTGTGTCGAATTTAATCGCTGTATTTTAAATTCAGTCATGAGCTTTAAAGTTATTTCTCGAAGTACATCGCTATACTCGTATTTTTAAGCGAGTAATGAGCATTGAAGAAATTTTCTTAAGGGGGCCTGATATGGAGGGTAAGGTCAATTATGGACCGATTCCCATAAAATTTGTTAGAGATTTCGGTTAGTATAGAACATGTTTGTATCGAATTTCATCGGCGTACTCGTATTGTTAAGCGAGTATTGAGTTAAAGTCATTATCTGAAGGACGGACATAGCTACATCGAACTAAAATTTAATAAGAACCCAGAAAGTGTTACAGTTTTGGGTATAAAAGCACAATTTAAAACAACGGTATAGTTTTTTGCTACAACTTAGGTTATTTGTTATTTTTGATAAATGTCATTTTATCTTCATTTAAATAATAATATTTTTATTAGTTCGTTAAACAGAGTACAAAAAACAAGTTTTGTTCGTTATTTAAGGTAGTCAATAGGAAAAATTAGCTTGTTCGTTAAATGCGATGTTCGTAGAATTGAATGGTCGTTAAATCGGAAAACTACTGTAGTTAGTTAGTTAGTTAGTTAGTTAGTTAGTTAGTTAGTAGTTAGTTAGTTAGTTAGTTAGTTAGTTAGTTAGTTAGTTAGTTAGTTAGTTAGTTAGTTAGTTAGTTAGTTAGTTAGTTAGTTAGTTAGTTAGTTAGTTAGTTAGTTAGTTAGTTAGTTAGTTAGTGTTAGTTAGTTAGTTAGTTAGTTAGTTAGTTAGTTAGTTAGTTAGTTAGTTAGTTAGTTAGTTAGTTAGTTAGTTAGTTAGTTAGTTAGTTAGTTAGTTAGTTAGTTAGTTAGTTAGTAGTTAGTTAGTTAGTTAGTTAGTTAGTTAGTTAGTTAGTTAGTTAGTTAGTTAGTTAGTAGTTAGTTAGTTAGTTACTAACTTACTTACTTACTTACGTAGTTAGTCAGTCAGACAGTCAGTTTGAAAGGAGGATATATATATAACATCGTCTACCAGGCCTTTTGTACTCACGACCTTCGGTCTACCACACTAGAATACTAACCACTACCTTCCGGTCTAACCAACAACCTTTGGAAACCTTATAATTTCCACAAGTAATAATATGAATCTATGTATGATTTGTAAATATTTGTAACTAAAGTAGATAGAGGAAAGCCTTAAAATTTTGCAACATGTTGCTGGCAACAT